GTGCTGAGAACTGAGTAGCATCTCCTGCCTTGAGTGGGGGTCCCACACCCCTTTTTCTTGGGAGAATCCTGTTAACTGGACTGCAAGTGCTTCTTTCCCAGGCTAGCCCTCTGGAATTATCCAGTGCCACTCTTGGCAACTGAAATGTCTGCCATGTTGTTTTGAAGTGAACTGGTCTGTCTCCTCCGCTTCTCCCAGCACGTTTGCCTTTTAAAGTTGTGCAGATTTGGTTCTTGCTAGCTAGCATGTGGAGGTCATTTTAAGTCTGTTTACAAATTTGCCATGCTCACTTTTTCCAGAATCCCAAACTTCTCTATGTTTCTAGATTTTCATTAAGGCAGGAAGTTATGGGGTTGAAGACAGAAATTGGTTTATAATCAATGTCCCCAATCTAAGTCATCTGCCATTTCCATACTCACTTCCAGCACAGAGACCAGAAACCGCCAGTTATTTATTTGACTTAAATGTATTCTCCCCATCTTTCTTCATCTGGTATTGGTGTTCGTGGTCAGTGAGTAGACTATAGAAACCTGGGCAGCATCCTTCTTCCTTCCCTTCCAACCTTTTCCCCTCTGATATTAAGAAAAGCAGAGTTATTGAATGGTTGCCCTCTTGTGTTTTCTAAATTATAATTGGATTTGTTATTGCAATAATAATTTAATAACAGGGCTGGGAAGGTGGCTCAGTGTTAGAGCGCTTGCCTTGCATGCATGAGGCCCCAGGTTCGATTCCTCAGCACCACATAAGCAAAAAGAAAAAAGCTGGAAGTGGTGCTGTGGCTCAAGTGGTAGAGTGCTAGCCTTGAGCTAAAGAGCTGAGGGACAGCATCCAGGCCCAGAGTTCAGGCCCCACGACCGGACACCCCCCCCCCAAAAAATAATTTAATAACATTGTGGGCATTTATGTTACATATGCCTTTCAAAAAGTGCTCTTGTGGGGGCTGGGGGTGTAGATCAGCGGAAGGGTGCCCGCTTGGCGAGCGCAAGGCCCTGAGTTTGGTCCTCAGCCCTGGAAAAAAAAAGAAAAAAAAAAGTACTCTTGTGTTTTTATCTAAAGTAGGCATGGCAGCTCAGAAAGGGGACTTGCCCAGAGCAAGAAGTCATGCCAAGGCCAGAGTTTTGATTTTATGTGTGTGTGTGTGTGTGTGTGTGTGTGTGTGTGTGTGTGTGTGTGTGTGTGTACGTACTACAGTGTTGGGGTTTGAAGGGGCCTTGTGTTCTCACTGAGCTTGCTTGCTTATGATTGGCATGCAATCAACTGGAGTCACACCCCCAGTCCAGTATTTTGCTGATTAATAAGAGGTGGAATCTTGCATATTTTTCTGCCTGGTTTGGTACTGAACGTTGATCTTCCAGCTCTAACCCTCCTGAGCAGCTAGTATTATAGATGTACTCCACCAGCACCCAGCTAAGGTAAGGTTTTGAACTTGGCATTTTGACTCTCCATTCAACAAAGCAAGGTGGTAGTTGGAAGGAGTAAGCTGTAAGATTTGTGGCATTTCTGGACGAGGCGGTAGGGAGAAGGAAGCTGAACCCCATCAGTTAGCCTGGTCTTGCCTGTCTCTGAATTCAGTTCTAAAAACAACAGAAGAGCTAGGACATTGGGTTCCACAATTAAATTTTCCCAAAGCGAAGGCTCAATTTCTAAAAGTCTAATCTACCTTTAACAATTCCAAAAATCTCTGAATCTAAACTAGGTTCTCTTAACTCACCTCACTCCCCTTCCCAACCCAACTAGAAAATGTGAGTGGGCTGAGAAAGAACAGAAAAGATAGATCAAAACTCTGACAACCCTCTGACAACAACTTAACTCGAAAATTGCCTCCAAATTGATGGCATAATTCTGTATAGGCTGATGTAAATCAGGCACAGATTTAGCCAGATCTTTCTTGTTTTTATTTCCTAACCCACAAGTTGATGAGCCAGGTGACTAGGACCAACCTTGGAAAAGGCCACCTTTGAGTGCCCAGGGGAATGTGACCTTTCCTCTTCTGACTCCACCCCACCTCCAAGGTGAGCCCCACTTCTGATCTTCACCAAATTGGATCTAGCTTATTCTTAAGTGATTGTTGGCTTCTTCGGCAAGACCTACCTCCAGACTCAGTGAGCAAAAACAGGTGCTCATCCTCAGTTCCTGCAATCGAAAAAAAGGTTCTCTTTTTCTTCTCTGGGGTACCATTCCAGGGGGTGTGAGCAGCTCGTTTCTTCTTCCCAGGAGCCCCTCATCGATGTTCTGTTCTTATTTGCCACCCCATGTTCAACACATAGAACTGTAGGTTGACCCAGTTCCTCAACCCCCTGTGATACCTCCTATAGGAAAGGGAGGATCCTGATGTAAACAGAAGAGCTACAAAGGTAGGGTTTGAGGAGGGTGGTTTCTAAAAGAAAAGTGGAGAAAGCCTTTGGAGGGCCCTCTCTCAAGGGAGCCAAGGATGAGCCAAGACCTAGCTTGAGCCTGGCCACTGCTCTGAAGGCTCTGTGGCTCTGACCATAGCTGCTTAGAGAAGCTGGGCCCCATGTGTTCAGAACAGGCCTGGATAAACCATTTTGTCTATTCCAGCCCTTTGGAAGGGGCAGGGAGAGGACCTGAGCGCCCTGAGATAAAGCTGTAGGGCTGGCCCAGGGAGTGGGCACAGAGGCTGACATCCATCTGATCTGTGGGCTGGGAAGCTGCTCATGCTCCTCTCCGGTCCTTACCTCTTCTGGTAGGCTGCTGCCATGGGCACTTGCTCTTGCTGAAGTGGGTGCTCCCCATGATGTGTGTGTGTACATTCCTATGTTCTCATAATCAGAGGAATGACACAGACCAATGTGTCAGGGACATGTGTGTTCTCACTCAAGACCTGTTCAGAGTGGAGGACCACATGGGGGAGCCCATGGAGATAGGACACTGGGCCCTGGGGACCTGAGGGGTCCTGGACTCCATAGATGGGCCAGGCCTCTCCCAGACAGGAGTTAGGATGCAGCTGTACCCAGGAATCCCTTCCTAAGCTTCTTGCCCTGACCTCTCCAACCCTGCAGCCCAGCTCTCAGAGACCTCAGAACAGGCGGAAGCACTAAGGTGTCATTCTTTCTAACCTTTGTGTTCTTTTTCTGGCCTTCTACCAGTTGGTCATGAGGGCCAACAGTGACCTTGTTCCCAGCATCCTCAGACACAAGCCAAGTCACTTTTCTGCTCTCAGCCCATGGCCAGCATAGACATAAGTATGTAGGCAGGAAGGAGCCAATGTGAGCAGGGGTGGACTGCATTTATGCAGAACTTCTTCGCCCTAGATGTCTGTAAGACCCCATAAGAATGACTGCTCCAGCCAGGCGCTGATGGCTCATGCCTGTAATCCTAGCTACACAGGAGCTGAGATCTGAGGATCTCGGTTCAAAGCCAGCCCGGGCAGGAAAGTCTGTGAGACTCTTATCTCCAATAAACCATAGAAAACCAGAAGTGGCGCTGTGGCTCAAGGTGGTAGAGCGCTTGCCATGAGATGAAGAGCGCAGGGACAGTGCCCAAACCCAGAGTTCAAGCCCCACGACCGACCAAAAAAAAAAAAAAGAATGACTGCTCCAGTTAAACTAGGGTCTCTGGTAAGGGGCCCAAGCTTCAGCATTTCTCAGAGCTTTCTAGATTGTTCCCTGTGAAAAGAACTTCTGACTGATGAAATAGTGAAAAACAGCTAATTAACTTTATGTATTGGTGTAAAAAAGGTAGAATGTCAGGCCCAGAGTTCAAGCCCCACGACTGGCAAAAATAATACGGGGCTGGGAAGGTGGCTCAGTGGTAGAGTGCTTGCCTCACAGTGTGAGGCCCTGGGTTCCATTCCTCAGCACCAGATAAGCAGAAAAAGTCAGAAGTGGCGCTGTGGCTCAAGTGGTAGGGCGCTAGCCTTGAGCTGAAGAGCTCAGGGACAGTGCCCAGGCCCAGAGTTCAGGCCCCACAACTGACAATTAAAAAGGTAGAATAATGTGTAATAGAAAAGCTACAGATGTAGCTTCATGCTTGCCTAGCATTTACAAGGCTCTGAGTTCAACACCCAAGAAGACAAAAACAGATGTACAATAGTGTGAAAGGACATTCAGAAAAGTCGTTGTTTTTCTAGATGCAGGCAGCCGACTATATCAGGAAGGGTCAGATGTATCTCCTGGAGTTGTAATGCTTCATTTCTTAAGTAGAGTGTTGGGACATTACATTCATACCTTTTTGTTGGTTGCAATACTTTATCAATTAATGAATAGAGCATGGATTTTGCAAACAGACAAACCAGGTTTTAAGTAAACTGCCACTTACTATGTGAGCTGGAGCAAGGACTTAACCCCTCTGAGCTTGTTAATCATCTATAAAACAGGACTGCCAGAGCTGCGTGAGCATTACTTTCAAAGTTCTACCCCTCCTTTCCCAAGTCCCAGCCTGAATGAGACTAAAGCATAGGCCAACTTCACCATCACAGGAGGGTGACACCACCTCCTCAGGCCATGTCAGAGGAAGACACTACATTCCTCACAGGTTTTGAGGTTGTGATTTCAGAGAAGGCAGTTTAGCCCCAGCCCAGATCTGTTTCCAGATACCTCTGTGGCTTCCCAGCTGAGGACTGGAATAGGGTCAGGGATGGTGGACCGATTTCAGAGATCGCTACAGAAATCCTCCTCCTCAAAGGCCAGGAAGGTGATGAGGGAAGCCAGCTTCTCTTCACCATGAAAATCTAGGAGCAGAAGGGTCAGGTTCCCTGAGAGGGGAAGCAGCTGGGTACAGAATCCCTTCCTCCGGTGCTACTTGTAAGGGTTGGGATTTCCCAGAGAACTGAAGATGTGGGGCTCTCTCCACTTGAGTACGGGTGTGATACAGAAGCCTGGCTCCAGGAGTATATGTGCCTGGAGGCCTCCAGGGCGGGTTGTGTTTCTGTCTGCCTGCGCATCTATACATGCCCACACACACTCCACACACAGCCCATCTGTGTACACCACAGTCTGGCTATGGAGTGGGGAAAGGAACTCAGACACCATTCTCATTGGACAGCTTAAAACACGATGTGGCTCATTTTTATTTTATCTCAGAAAAAAACAAACACTCCCTTTAGAAGGAAAGGCCGGTTTGATAGGGCCTCTCTGGAGGCAGCTCTGAACTGCCCAGGCTCCAGGCTCCAGGCTCCAGCCCCCTGGGACCATGAGCCCATGTTCTGGCATTGTTCTTGTTGTAACTTGTCCTCCAGTCCACTTTCATCACCCCCAAGAGATGGCCCTGGGCGTTCAGTGCACAGCCGTGGTTGACAATAGGAGAGGGCTGCCTGAGACTCCCTGGCATCCTCCCAAGGCCAGGTTAGCAGCAGGACAGGCAACAGACCCAGAAGCCAGGGAGAGGAAGATAATAAAATAGAAAGGATTTCCTCACACTCATATCTTCTGGGGAAAAAAAAAATTAGTCAAATGCCACCTCCAGGCCAGCAGCTTCTTGAGCCCTAGAAAGTCTGAGAAGGGTGGCGTGCGTGTGACAGGAGGTTTGCTGCAGGCCAGTCCACTAAGCCATGGCAGCTCTGCAGAGACCTACTGGGACTTCCAGAGGCGTCTGGAGTGGAAGACTGGGCCCTGCCCAGTGAAGATGCCGCTGGGGCTGCAGCCCCGGCCTCGTACAGGGCCTCGCAGCATGAAACATCTACTTTCTCAGGCCTCAGGCCCTACTTGCTGGGCCTCATGCTACACCAGCTTGGGGCTCCTTCCTCTCCATTCAAAGTGGTTGCCAGATGCCTGATGGCTCTCATGGCATACTCACTCTTCTCCCAACATGACTGGTCCAGCCAACCAGAAAGACAATGATTTGCTTCCCTCAGGAAGGGGCAAACTCCATGGACCATCAGGATATTCCTGCTCTGCCCTGGGCGAGGGGGTCCTCTTTGCCAGATGACTCTGGGCAAGGTCTTTTGTGCTCATAGCTAAGGAGCTCCACATCCTCAAGGCTCACATCCTGGTGGGCTTCCTGGACACTCGCTCCACTCACCAGCCCTAGGGCATAGCCATTGGGCCGCCGCTCAGGATGGGGACCGCTGCCATTGGCCCACACCCCAGGGGGATGGCCATTGAGACGGAGGCTGGCCTGCTCTCCTTCAGCACTGTGAGCTGCCAGAGCCCGAGCACTGGTGCCCCCTGCCTTGAAGGGTTCCTGCCTCCTCAGGACGTGACTTCGAATGATCTTGCGGAAGGTGTGACGAAACTCACGGATCCGGTAGGCGTAGATGAAGGGATTGACAACAGAATTGCTGTGCGAAAGGACAATAGCCAGGTACATGAGCCAGAGAGGGGCATGGCTGCACGTGGGGCAGAAGAAGGTGAAGCAGTTGATGATGTGCAGAGGCAGCCAGCAGAGGGCGAAGAGTCCCACAATGATGGCCAATGACTTGGCTGCATGGACCTCCTTCTGAAGTGTGGACCGGGTCCTCTCCCCTGGCAGGGGCTGGCTCTCCATCTGCTTCAGCTGTCGCCGGGCTGCCAGAAAGATCCGCAAGTAGATGCCCAGCATGAGCAGCAGGGGCACCAAGACGAAAGCGAAGAAGTTGTAGTATACCATGTAGTTCATTGGCACCACGTCCTCAAAAAGACACGTCACCTGGCCTTCACCACAAGAGGAGTTCCTGCCCTCCTTCAGCAGGCTGCAGTTGTTCCAGCCTAGCATGGGTGTCAGGCCGATGGCAAATGAGAGCACCCAGCAGATGGCAATGATGCCCTTGGCCCTCGTGCAGGTCACCAAGCTGTTGTACCTGGAGAGAGACCAGCATTAGAACCCTGAGAATCCAGGACTAGGCAGAGCCAATAGTCAAGAAACCCAGAGAAAAGCTAGGCGCCAGTGGCTCACGCCTGTAATCGTAGCTACTCAGGAGGCTGAGATCTGAGAATTGTGGTTGAAAGCCAGCCCAGGCTGGAAAGTCCGTAAGAATCTTATCTCCAACTAAACACCAGAAAACCGGAAGTAGCACTGTGGCTCAAAGTGGTAGAGTACTAGTCTTGAGCGGAAAAAGGTAAGAGACAGTGCCTAGGCTCCGGGTTTAAACCCCACAACTAACAATAAGAAAAAGGGAAAGGGAAAGGGGAAGGGGAAGGGGAAGGGGAAGGGAAAGGGGAAAGGGAAAGGGAAAGGGAAAGGGAAAGGGAAAGGGAAAGGGAAAGGGAAAGGGAAAGGGGAAGGGAAAGGGAAAGGGAAAAGGGAAGGGAAAGGGAAAGGGAAAGGGGAAGAGGAGAGAAAAATCCAGAGAAGACACCATGTGGGTTCCCCATTTATTGGCTAAAAGGTTTTCTTTGCGGCACCCAGAATAGGTACTTCCTGAGGATGCCTCAGTATCCTCTTTTAAGTGAGGTAGTGGGCCTTGCCTTTCTCACAGGCTGTTGTGGGCCAGGAGTAGATAACAAGTAGATAACAGAGCAGGCACCCTGGAAATGGAAACTACTGTACAAATGTTCAGATAATCAGATAATCCTGAGACTTAATTTGAATTTGATTTGAGGGGAAGTAAGTGATTTGGGGGGACGGGGAAGAAGAACGGCACCCAAGTTGGTTGATCTTGGTTTCCCCATCCCTTCCAGGGGTGGGGAAACTTTTTTCTATAAAGGGACATTTGGGTATTTATATAATTTACAGACCATACAAAATTACAATGCAGGCAAATTGGCTGCTGGAAACCGACCAAAAGCATACATGTCTGTTTTGTCAGGTACCAATTATTTCAAGGGCCTTATAAGGGCCAGATGTTCCCCACCCCTTCATGGAGGGGTCTGGTGGGTGGGCTCCTTGCCACTTGAGACCTGTAGCTAATCTGAGCTTCTGTTCACCAAGCTCTTTCTTCCTCATTTGACTTAAGTATCCTGAGTGGAGACAGGGAATGGAAGTGCCAAGTCGAATGAGATACCATCTCCCCAGCAAATCTACTCACAGACTCTATAGAGAAATAAGATAATTGTGTCTTGACATTTATCTGGCAATCTTAATAGTCTTAAAGAAAATAATTGGATGAGGGTTTAAGGTTCAGACAATGACAATAATCTTCTTGAAATCACTCAGTTTTCCTAAGAGCCAGATAAAAATCCAAGTCTACTCATTACAAATCTAAGACTCAGAATGGGTTGATCTACCCAAGATGCAGCTTCAGCCCCTTGTAAAGGCATCAGGGTTTTTGTTGTTGTTGTTGATGTTGTTGTTTGTTGGTGGTGGGGTTGGAACTTAGGGCCTGGGTACTGTCCATGAGCTTTTTTGCTCAAGGCTAGTGCTCTACCGCTTTGAGTCACCAGTTCACTTCAGTTTTCTGATGGTTAATTGGAGGTAAGAGTCTCACAGGCTCTCCTGCAGGGACTGGCTTTGAACTCAGCCTCCTGAGTTGTTAGGATTAACAGTCATGAGCCACTAGGTCAGGTAAAGCATCAGTTCTGCAAAAGAGTGGGTACCTAAAAAGTCTCCCGGATGGAAAAAGGCAAGCTCCGTGTTCTCTGAAGTATGAGCTTCTGCTTACTAGTTTTCATTCTGGCAAAACCAGAGTAGCCTCTCCACCTGGTGGAAACCCCGCTCAGCCTTCAAGCTCAGGCTGTGTATTTCCTCAGAGAAGTTTTCTGCCTCATCTGGGCTCAAGAGATGGGGAGCTCCTTGGAAGTAGGGCTCTCTTGCATCCATCTGCAAATGGCAACTTTTAGACAGGACGACGCAGGAGATGACAAGGGAAAATGCATCCAGCAAGGACTGAGTCTATTGGTGGCAAATATAGGTGCCTACAGGTAATAAATGTGAGGCATTTACCCTGGTAAATGTGCATTTACCCTTGGTTGCCATGTAAAATGTGCATCAGTAGTACAATGAGGCCCTGGGTTCTATCCTTAGCACACAAGGGGAAAAAAGGCTGAGCAGGTGGCTCATACCTATCATCCTAGCTACTCAGGAGGCTGTTATCTGGAGGATTGCTGTTCCAGACCAACCTGAACAAAAGTAGACTTCATAACTAAAATAACCAGCAAAAGGCTGGGCTGGAGGTATGTCACAAGTGGTAGAATGCCAGCCTACCAAGTGCAAGGCCCCACATTCAAACTTCGGCATTGTCAAAAAAAAAAAAAAAGTGCCTTCATTTTGTCAGATCTCAAGAGTGTCTGGGCAGCTTATGTTCTGGGCAAAAATCTTCCAAGTTTTAAACATTGTTAGATAATTAAAATATAAAATGAATTTTAAAAAAGACAACCTAGTAGTATCTGATATCTAGTCCATAGTCCACCTCTTATTTTACAAATGGGGAAACCATGGCACAAAGTGAGGTATAGACGTGAATATGTAGGCACCCAGTTGGTTGAGTTGTGCGAGGCAATGTAAACCCAAGTAAACTCATTGGTTCTGAATCTGGGTTTGAACTCAGGGCTTTGTATTATGGGCGATGCCTACAGTCCATCTCTGGTTTTGTTTGTTTTTATGCCAGTCCTGGGGCTTGAACTCAGGGCCTGGGCACTGTTCCTGAGGCTAGCACTCTACCACTTGAGCCACAGCACTACTTCTGGCTTTTACTGTTTATGTGGTACTAAGGAATCGAACCCAGAGTTTCATGCATGCTAGGCAAGCACTCTAAAACTGAGCAACATTCCCAGCCCTGTTCTCATTTTTTTGAGGTGCTACTACAGATTAAACCCAGCATCTTGTACAAGGCAGGTTAGCACTCTAGTGCTGAGCTATAACTCCAGCCCTGTCCATTCAGAACAGTTACTAGGCAGATTTATTTTCACAAGCTCCCCAGGCCCACACAACAAGGGCTTAGCCATCTTCAGCAAGGCCTCTACACGAGGAGGGCTATGGACTTGACCTTTTCTACCAACCAACGTAGAACCTACACTTTGTCTCCTGTTCTAGAGACTCAAACATGAGTCTCATACCTACATAGCACACATCTCTATGCCTCAGCACTTTTCACTGTTCTCAATATTCTACAAAAGTACTTAGCCTTCATTGAAGAGGAAGCTCCAATATGTTAACATCTTTCCTGAGAAAAGCATAGCCCTCCCTGGACTCTGGTCCTGTTCCATCCCTATAAATAAGGAACATAATGTCATTTCACCTCTCTGGGCCTTCAGTGTCCTCATGTTTAAAACGGAACTTAGAATCCTGGGCCCATCAGCACTGCCCCTAAGTACAGACTGCACCCAAGGGTAGGTAAATGCTTTTCATCTGAGCTGTTCACAGGGAAATGGGGTGCCATGGGCCCCATTCTTGCCATCCCAGGCTATCAAGCAGAAGCAAGCAGCTACACTGACGGTGAAGGGCCACCTGCTGGAGAAAGGGAGGTGGGCAAGTTGCTGGAGAAACCAGGGCTGGCCACAGCATGGACATCCCTATGTGTCCATTTATCTCCTTTTACAGAAGAAAGACTCCACCAGGGAAAGTCTCCTACTGCATGGTGAAAGTCTTTTGTGGCCATACAAACAAATACATGAGTAGTGCTTGCCTGGATGGGCAAAAAACTCAGGGTAGGAGAGATTGATATACTTTTTTCTTTATAATGTTTGCATATATACATAGTTTACTTTTTTACAAAAACACTAACAAAGCTGGGGGTGTAGCTCAAGTGCTAATAATGTTTGCCTAGCATGTGCAAGGCAGTCTCTACATGCATACACATGCATGCACACACATGCACAAATGTGTGTGGGGGGGAGGGGGGATAGATGCATTTTGTTTTTGTCAAAAGAAAGCCTCTTTGTGGCTCAAGTGATAGGACACCAACCCTGAGCCAGAAAGCTGAGTGAGAACATGGAGCCCTGAGTTTAAAGCCCAATATTGACTTACAAAAAAAAATACTTAAAAAACAAAAAAAAAAAAAGAAAAGAAAGCCTCTTGGGCTGAGAGTCCTACACCCAAATGGGGGCCTGGGACAGCATCAGGGCCCAAATGGAACTATGACCAAACCATGCATGTCCCAGAAGCATCTCCCAGGCTGTGACTAACATGGTCACCTCCTGACCTTCTGGGACCTCACACATAGACTGTTCAGCTAGAAGAAATATCAAAGCCATCTCATACTCTAGAGGACTGAGAAGTATTATAGGATGCAGCTGCCAAAGCTGCTACCAGTTCCCGTTTTCAAGTTGTCCTCCAGTTGGACCCCAACTGCCCTTCCGGGGATCTAGATTACCCACACTGGGGGCTCAGCCTATGGTCCAGAAACATATCCCACAACTAGAAGTTTCACATGCATCTGTACTACTTTGAGACAGCAGAATTTCCCTAAGTTATCCTAAGGGGCCAGTGATCCAAGAATTGAAGAACCTCTGACCCAATGGGGAAATCAAGCCTAACTCAGCCTTCTATCTCTCTGCCTACTTATCTCCTAGCACTCAGAGCCAGGCTACCTCTCCTGTTCCTGTTCCTACAGACTCATTCTTTCCTCAGGAGGCTCTGTGGTCCTGCTGACACACTGGAGACCCATACATCTGAATGCCTATCAGGAGACATATCTTCCTCTGTGGTTATTCAAAGGTTACCTGAAAAAGAAAACGCTTGTATCTGGCCCTGGGCTTTTCATCTTCTCTATGGACATCAAGAGATGTATCTCTGCGTCTAGCTCTGATTTTCTCACCTGCCCTAGCTCTCAACAGCGTCCTTACATTTGGGAGAGAGGAGACAGATTGTTCTAAAGTTGAGTTCTTTAAAAAAAAAAAGTTACCACGGTGCATTAATTGGAGTTAATAGGCATAACAGACTTCAGAACAGCCCTTCAGACCTTGCCAGTGGAGCAGGAACTGGCTTCCTAGCTGTGAGAGGACGGAGGAAGAAAGGAGCCCAAGCCAGACAGCACCCTGTAACCAGCCAAGAGCTACTGGTTCTCATGGGCTTCCCTCCAGCTCCTTCTTATGCATGACTTGTTCTCTTAGGGACCCCCCATATTGATACTTCCACGTGTCCAGCAACCAGGGGCTTCAAGGAATAGGAAAGGGAGGGACCCAAAGGCCAGGTACAGTCTGAAGGACTCTAGAGTTCATCTACATCAGAAGCCATGTGTATGTCCTTTCCTGGTCCTGGCCATGAGAGTCATAACATCTGCTCTTGCTAAAATACTGAGCTTAGAGGGCCAAAGAAGACGCTGAGCTAAAACCCTTTTACAGGGCTGGGAAGATGGCTCAGTAGTAGAGTGCTTGCCTTGCAGGCATGAGGTCCTGGGTTCTATTCCTCAGCACCACAGAAAAAGCCAGAAGTAGTGCTGAGACTCAAGTGGTACAGTGCTAGCCTTGAGCTGAAGAGCTGAGGGGCAGTGCCCAGAGTTCAGGCCCCACGACCAACAAACAAACAAACAAACAAAAAACTTTTTTTTTTTTGTCGGTCATGGGGCTTGAACTCTGTGCCTGGGTGCTGTCCCTCAGCTCTTCAGCTCAAGGCGAGCACTCTACCACTTGAGCTACAGTACCACTTACGGTTTTCTAGTGGTTTATTGGAGATAGGAGTCTCACGGTCTTTCCTGCCCGGGCTGGCTTTGAACCGCGATCCTCAGATCTCAGCCTCTTGAGTAGCTAGGATTACAGGCAGGAGCTACTGGCACCCAGCCAAAAAAAAAAACCTTTGCAGTTCTATTCTCTCTGCCCAAGGGGCAGGAGGAGTACCTTCATCCCTGCTGGTTCCCTGCAAAGACCAGCTTGAACCTTCTGAAGCCTCCCTCAGCAGAACTTATATGGCTGAAAGTCCAGCTGGAGTGCAAGTCTAACTCTGGAAGATCCTGGGATCAGGAAGGCAGATTAGAGCCAGAAAGGCTATGGCTCCAGATTCCTAGCAGCTCAAGAGTTGAGGCCTCACCCTGCCTTGTCCTGCCAGACATGTCACCCACTCCCTGCCACTCACTGTGGACCCTCACAACTTTTGTGAACTTAGGCAGACAGACAGATACACCCCCATTATAGAAGAGAAAATGGGCCTAGAGTAGGACAGCTGATTTCCCATAGCCACACAGCATGCCCCATCCTACTAATTCAAGGATTCATTGTCTTGACTCTCAGAGAACACATAGAAAAGGGAGACCAAGCAGGGAAAAGCTGAGGTCTTTCAATTGAGAACAGCTGCCCCAACCTCTCCCTAGAATGCAGCTGCCCTTTAAATCAGAGAAGAAAGTGAAAGCCGGGCTGCTGCTTCCCCTCTGTGCTGCTCCGGCTCCTTGTGCTCCTGGGCTGTGTGGGCTCAGCTCCACTCCTCTGTTCAGAGCTGTCACTGGATAAACCTGGACTTTGCTCTGCTTCTTGGACCAGAATTACAGTTACATGCTATCACATAGAGCTTCAGCTATTACTCTACCCCCCCCCCCCCTTCCTTCCTCCCTGGCAACTTTTTAAGGAGTACTGGAGTTTCAGCTCAGGGCCTGCTTCTTTTGAGCCTGCTTCCCTTTTGGGTGCAATGATAGCAATGGCTGTAGGATGCAGCTTTGGGGAAACTCCTCCAAAAACAGAGGTCCATAGGGGTGGCAGGCCCTGCTTCTTCCTAGGCCTAGTCCTAGCTCTATTACCAATTCCCATGGCCCAGCAAGTGCAGGCTCCCTCCTCAGAGCCTCATTTTTTTCCATCTAGACGATGAGAGGAAGGAAATGGTTTCTAAGGGCCTTGTTGGGTTTGACACCCTGAGTTTCCATTTGCTCCCTGAGCCTGGTCCTCAGCCTGCAGTGGACTGTAGGGTCTCCTCCGCAGGAGACTCCACCTATCTGGGAGAATTTACCATGGGGATAGTATACGCCAATCCCAAATCGCAGAGACTCTCCTGAGCACCTGCAGCACCCCCTGGCTGTGAGACAAAAGTTGGGGGGAGCAAGGAGGTAGAGCTGGCAGCTCCTGGCACCCCTAAGGAAGGATGTACTTCCTATTTTATCTATGGCCTTGTTAGGTGGAGGCTACTCCCAGGAAATACAGCCTCTGGGAAGTCTTTATTTACACAATACTTAGCTGAAGTCACTTCACAAAAGATTCACCATTAAAAAAACCCCTCCCACAGCCAACTCATGACCTAAGGAGCAACATAATTTGCACCCAAGTGACTCACTGTGGCATTGAGTCAAGTCACTTCCCCTCTCTAGGTCTCTCTCCTAACATGCACGTGACAGGGCCTGCCTTGAGGAGCGAGGGAAAGGCAGGTGGCAAGTGGTTCCTGACCAGGGTATTGTGGTTATCTGTGGCTCCTCCTCCACTCCAGTGTCCCTGTAAGAGTTTTGCTCTGACACATGAAGAATAACTTAGACACACAGTGTCAGCCCTCAGCACTATGTCTAATGTGGCCTAGGGGAGCTCAGGTTGCTCAGTGCCATGAGGACCAGCCAGACTGGTATGATAGCCACCCATCTGCCAGCCCTGTGCAGCCCCAGGCTCAGATTCATACAGACCAGACCCTGGGCACAGCACAGCTGGCCTTGTACTCATGTAAGCCTCTAACTCACCGGAGTGGGATGCGGATGGCGATGTAGCGGTCAATGGCAATGGCCAAGAGACTAAAGATGGAGCTCTGCGTGAGGACCAGGACAAAGCAGGCAAAGAAGAGGCAGCCATGGCAGGCAGCGCAGAAGCCAGTGCTGATGGTGATGGCAAACGGGATGGCAAGCACGCCCACTGCAATGTCAGCCGCTGCCAGCGACACCACAAAGTAATTGGTGACATTCTGTAGGTTGCTGTTGATCCACACAGCCCAGCACACCAGCACATTGCCCAGGATGGCCAGCACGGCAATGGCCAGCTCCACTGTGATGTACACCAAGGAGCCCATGGTGGGAGCAGCCACAGACGGGCAGGTTCAGCAAGGACGCGGGCCTGGGCCAGCTCACGGTCCATAGCTGCAGTCCAGCCGTTCCACCTGCCCAGGCCCCGGAGCCTTTTCCTCACAGGAGCCAAGAGTGTCCCCTCATGGGTGCTCCAGAGGCTTTGTCACAGGCAACTCCGCTCCTGAGATCAGGCCCTCTCCAGCGGGGGCTCCGGTGATGGCCTCATGGCTCAACTCAGTTTCAGGGTTCCTAAGGCACCTGCAAAGAAAGACAGAACCCTGGTGAGCCACTGAACCACCTAAGCCTCGAAGATTCCACTGCTCTTGATTCTACTCCCCCATGCAGGTGGTGTGTCAGCTTTGAAGATGCTCCCATACCCAGAAGTAGGACCTGGCCCCCACCACTAAAGAGTCCATGGGCCCAGAAAAGTCATTGAGTCCTATAGAATTCCTATTAAGACCATCACCCAAACCCTGCATGACCAAGCGCTGCATGACAGGCATGGGAGGGACTAACAGGCAGAGCCAAGGCTCTGCCACGACTCTATCTGCCCCTCATCGCCACAAAAAAATCAAGGTGACTGTATTCCCCCTTCCCTGGTGTTAAGGTCATAACTCTCTTAGCCTGGCCAAAGATCAGCCAGTCTTACTCCCCCCACCCCCACCCCGCCCTGGAGGCCAAGAATCTGTCAAAGTTAATTCTGTCATGTTGGCTCCCCAAACTCAGCATCTCAAACCATCTGTGGCAGCCCAACCACTCAGTCCCCTGGGTCTCTCCACTTGCTGCCAGCTCTATGACTCCATTCCTTCCAGAAAGACCACACACACACACACACACACACACACACACACACACACACACACACACACACAGTGAGAGAGAGAGGCTCTCCCAGTCACACCCATATGTCTCACTGCACTAGCCTACTTGTACCACTTTGTCCCCAATAAGCTCTCCAGAAGCTACCAGTGCCCAACAAAGGGACAAGCCAGTGACTCCTAGAGCCTAGTTCTAGAGAGATCTGGGGATCCATTCAGTCCTACCAGTGGCAGTGTATAAGCATTCTTACCCTCCCAGGCAGCAGAGCAGGCACACACCTGAACCGGCTGACTCCCACTGTCCCCACCAACTGGCAGGCTGCACCTCTGCTGGGGCAGGAGCTTGGGTGCTTCTCCTCTCTGACAGAGCCTCCTCCCCTTCCTCTTCCCCTTCCTCCTCCCCTCTCTCCTCCCACACCCTCTCTCCCACCTGTTCCTCAGCCTGGAAAATGTGGGCATGAATGACTGACTTAAGTTAGAAAAGCAGGTGCTCAACATTGACTCGCTGGGGAACTGTGGCCAAGCATGTTTCTTTTCTGGGCCTCAGTTTCCCTATTCATACAGTGAGGAAGTTGGGTGATCTCTAGGAGCCATTTCAGCTCTCCGTGTTGTTTTGTCCATGAAAAGGAACTAAACAACATATTAGAAAGGGCACCCCAGAGTGAAAATATCATAGAAAGATAGGAATGAATGACACTAAAGAAGCTTAAGCCGGAGCCCAGCCTGAACTCCCATTGTCCTCCCTGTGCTTGTGAAACTGCTTCAGTTCAAGCAGAACTCTCTCACCAAGTGCCTCTCCCTCAGAGGCAAGAGGCCCCCCAAACCACCTTTCATTCCTCAAGGAGCCCCAGAGGTGCAGGAGCAGCAGTCCCTGCCTGTCTAGGGACAAGAGGCTAGAGGCCTTTTGGCTACCTGCCTGTGGCTGCATCTTCCCCCTTTTCCTCCAGCTCATGAGGACTAGAGATCCTAGAGAAGGCCACTCCTTAGTCCTAGTTCAAGGCTCAGGCTCCCTCTCCCTCATCCCACTTGAAATTGGCTGAAATAAGTAAACCCTGAGTGTCCTTCCAACTGCAATGCTGCCTCAGCCTGGAGCTGCAACAGGTACAGGCTACATCCACATGGGTTGGGGGTACCAGTACCCACTTAGGAAGTTCAGAATAGACTTCCTGACACAAAGGGCTAGAGGGCATGAGGGGAAAGCCAAAGCCCTGGCATAAACTGAGGAGTTAGAAGCCTGCAGCATGTGAAGAGGCCCAAGCCCTACTGAATGTCGCTTTGCATGGGATATTGGGCAACTAGCTGCTCGCCAAGCGTGTCCCTGGCAGACAGATAAGACCATTAAGTCCAGATGCTATCCCTGACTACATTCCGTGTTCCCCTGTGTCCTAGCCTGCAGTCCAGATCAGCATTCAGGAGCTGAGGCTAGCCTTGGGCCTGTCTCCATGGTGTGGCCTCCCAGGCCTGGTACCAGCAGCAGCAGGTTACTGTCCAATCAAAACCTGCCAGGCCTGATGGGCCACTGGCCATCCCGGGATCCTGCCTCAGGGCAACTGCTGGACCTATGTCAGTCACCAAAAGAATCTACATTAAGGAACACCACAGACATTTGACAATCTAACTAGGCAGGTAAGAAGGCTCCTACCAGCCCACAGATCCAGGACAGATTTCTCTTCAGCCCCATTGCTCAGAGCCACGACCATCAGCCCCAGGGACCACACTGGCTCCCAGCGGCCAGGATGTCTGTCTCGGAAGGGACCTGACCTAGCCTCTCAGCAGTCTTGGGTACCTGCCTGAGAACCAACCACTGGCGCTCTGAGTTTCTCCATCACGCTGAACAGCATTGGGGACCCACATGCTTCCTGATCATACTGAAGCCACAATTTCTATCCTCATCTCATTGAATGCACTGGCCCCACCTACCAAGTCAGCTTCGCAGGAGCTGCAGACACATACGAAGCTCCCTTCAGCAAGCATGCCCACCTCTACCCCTTCCTCTGACATTTCCGCAGGCTGCCTCCATTGCTGCCAGCACATCACAGGTAAAGCTCTGATCCCACAGGCCACCTGGACACCTGCCAAACCAGAATCTACTCTTGGCTGTGCCTTGCCCAGCTGAGCCCAGGAGCTCAGCAGAGACAGTCTTGGGATAGGAGTGGAAGAGGAGGCCAGGAGATCTGTGCTTCTAGGGTAGCTCTGCAAAGGGGAAGGCTGGGGCTGCAGGACTAGGGGTAGTACCCTGACTTGGAGTCTTTCCTTGTGCAAATGCTCCCACTGGGGAGGGGGGCAATTTCAAACTCTTAATGTGTCACTGACTAGAACAGGGAAGCAATGCACATAGCTGGCTACCTGGTGCCACACCACCACTGAGCCACCAAACCTTAGGCTCTCCAGGAGGCCACCTGCCTAAATGGCTGGACCTTCTTGAAGAGCTTATTCCGTCTCCTTGGAAACTGGGGAAATGATAAAAGACAGTGGTTTTCACGGGGCCCACGAGCTCTATCTTACAGAGGAGGAAGCTAAGGCCCAAAGAGGAGAGGTGACCTCTCGGCCTTACCAGGAACACGAATGTGTGACAGCACTGAGAGAGAAGGCCACAGGATTCCATGGAAGACTTCTGGAACCTCCTGCTCTCTCTGACCTTCCCTTCTCTCCAAAGCTTCTCAGAAACACAGAAAAGCTGAGGCCCAGGGGGGCCAGGACGGGGTCAGGATCTGGCAATTTCCTATCTCTCTCCTGTTGGGCACTATCTAATTAATCCTTAAGTCATCTATTGCTAAGAGAGGAAATTAAATACTAATAAGGTCCTGTTTCCTCATGATTGCCCCTTGTTAGGGATGGGGCAGAGGGCAGCTAGTGTCCCATGTAAACTATAGATATGTTGCGGAACATCCATGATATGCCTTGAAAGAACGATCCCAGAGGATTCCCAGTAGTTAGAGTCAAAACTGCACCTTCCTTCACCACTACCCCCTTGCCACCACACTGATTTAAGCACTTCAATGAAATCGTCACTTAATCCAAACCCATACATCTGGCCCACCTCTTCTGGCTCCTCATACATCCAACCAGCAAGTCCCTCAGTACACATGCCCAGATGGTAGCTGTACCCTTTTAGAGCCTGCTGTTCAGAGGCACCCACTATCTTCCAGGCAGGCCCTGTACACCTATGCCTAGTTGCAGCCTAGGGCAAAGAATGGAGCCGTGTCGAGATTCTACCCACTGCAGCCATGCTGGACTCCGAAATCCCAGTCTTAGAATCCTCTTCCTTGTAACCAGTTTTCCCCACTTTCCTACTCTACTGTGCTACAAAACAGCCCAAACTTTGGACCCCGAGGAGCTCTGTACTGTCTGCTACCAACATGCAGGCCCTTATACTGCACCAAGGACCTGGAAGCAGGAGGAAGCCCAGGAAAGTCTGAGTGGCATCCACCACTTTGGGGATTCAGGTGCCCACAGGCCATATCCTGTTACCAGGACCTAAACTCCCATTTCAGATGGACGGCAAACCCCAATTTCAAAACAAAATTAAAGCTAAGAAACACAAGCAATAGCATCAAACCACAGAGATTAGTATCTTCAAAGAGGCGGGTCATGCAGTAGTGCTATAATGGTGTGTGTGTGTGTGTGTGTGTGTGTGCATACGTCCATGCACAGGCTGATCCTGGGGCTTAAACTCAGGGCCCAGGCACCATCTCTGAGCTGCTTTTGCCCAAGTGCTTGCTCTACTCTACCATGTCTGGCTTTTTCTGAGTAGTTTATTAGAGATAAGGGTCTCATGGACTTTCCTGCCTAGGGTTGGCTTCAAACCATGGTCCTCAGATCTCAGCCTCTTGAGTAGCTAGGATTCTAGGCACGGGCCACCAGCATCCAGCACCATAATGATTTCTAAAGACATTTCAGGTCCTCGAAGAAACAAAGCATCCGTAAACAAGGAGAACTTATCAAGCCATTGGCAGAAACAGGAGCAGGCAAATATGAACAAAGAAAGATGAAGAAGAGATCCTTGGCACGAAGAACAGAAGGACTGACATAAAGAACACACCAGCTGTGATGGATTTCAGGCCTGCGGGCGGCTGAAGAGGACAACTGGGGTCCGAAGACAATCCAAGGGAATTCTCACAGAGACCTTATCGAGTCTGTGTGAGAAAGCAACAGACATCTGCACGGAAGGGAAGAGAGAAGCACCAGCGTTGGTGTTTCAGGAGCTCAGCAGGCATGTGGAAAGATATGAGACAGAATGACAGCTGGGTGGGCTGGGTGGCTCCTTGCACGAGCCCTGCAGTGGCACCGCCATGACTGGACTTGAGTTTCCAGGAAAGCCTGGGACCCACAAAGCCCACCTCCTCCCCCAAACACATCAGCTAGCAGGACAGGTGCTTTCCTCAGTTGCCTGGAACTGAGCCACTTACAAAGCCCCGGGCTTCCCTTCCCTCCTTACTTCCAGCACCTGAAGCAGGCTGGCCCCAGGTACCAGGGCAGGCAGCTGGGTGTGCCTCTTCCCCCACCGGCCTGTGGCTGTGCTGCTACTGTTGTGCTCCTGGGGGCAGGATGTGGGCAGGAAAAGAGAAGCAGTTGCAGGTGGGGAACAGGGCAGCGTGCTGTCCCTGCTTCTGCTTCACTCCCAGGACCAACGGGACTGCCCGAGAAAGCCAGAGGTCCCTAGATATCTTGCCTGAGGCAGCCACTCACCGATCACAGGCTACTTTTGCAGACAAACCGCCAGGACGTGCTGAGAGATCAATCGGTGGTGGGAGCAAAGGGAGGTCGGCCCCAGCTCCATCACCAGACTTCCCCTCTGCATGTGGCTCCTCGCGTGTGCCAGCACCATGTGAGGCTTGGCACCTGCACCTCCCACAAACAGCTGATCACAGGTACTGTGGGTAGTGTGCCGCCTGAATAGGGGCTGACGGGGGAGGTCCTTGGCACCCAGGCCCCAGCTGCTGCTAAGTGCACTAAGGATGGAGGGACATGGACTCATGGCTGGGGTCCCTCGGACATAGGTGTGAGGAAGAAACCCTGGAGGCTGAAGGGAAAGGGTGAGGGAGCTGCACCTACTTGAGCATAATCTACCTGAACCCTGGCCACCCTACCGCCTGTCTACCCCTCCCCTAGCTTGGCTCATGGCCACAATGAGGCTAGAAGTGAAATCTGTGAAGCCTCTGGGCAGCCTACACCCTGGGGGAGACACCCTAGCACCATGGCTGGTCTCTTCTTGCCCTCCCCACTTCCCCAAGCAGCCTTTCATCCAGACCACAGCTGCTGCCAAAACATCAGCATCACACAACCACAGAAGGTTCCAGCCCCTGCCCAGCAGCCTCCACAACAGACCTGTCATGCAGGATTATAGGAAGGCATGGGGGCTCAGAAGGAATCTCTGCAGGGCTTCTCAGAGGAGGGGGGTCATTGGGCTGCACTTTGAAGAAGGAGAAAAGAGGGACAGAGTCCACCAAAGAAATCAGACTGCACAGCTCTGTGCTGCATCAGAGAAAGCCCATGACAACCCTGGAAAGCTGCAGTCTTACCTTCCCAGGCATGCAGGGGTGAGGGGCTGCAGCTCTGCCACTCCATCTGGACCCTCCTACATCCCTAGCAGGTTCTCATGACTTCCAGAATGTAGAGTCTAAGGCTTCCTTCTCTGCCACCAAAGTGCTTCTTCCCACACCCAGGACCTAAGCCCTGCCCAGAAGGTGAGAATTCTTGAAGGGGCTCCTCAGAATATGAACTCCATTGCTCATGTGACCTAGCAAGGACCAGAGACCCACCTTTCTACACTGTACCATCTTTATCAGCATCAGTCTGCAAAGCCGTCCTTCCCATACACACCCAATCTTGGGGACCAGGTTTGAGTTGTATGAAACAGGACAGATCTCATAACGATGCTGAGCTGACAGCTGGAGCGCCTCAGGATGAAGTCAGTAGCTCAGGACCAGGCAGGTTAGAGGGTAACAAGAGTCCCTGTAGGGTTTCAGGTCCGGGGCTTTGCAGATCCTGATGCTTTCTCTGGAGCCAACGTCTCCCTCTGCCACAGCAATCTTAGTGGTATTCTCCAACCCATCCTCCACGGCTTCCCAATTGGAATACAGAATCCCCTCGGTCCCAAATTGTCTAGTCAAGGCTACCTCATTTCTTCTCCATTACAGTCCTAATGCCCTTTGGGCATTGCTAGGAACACTACCACCCTTGCTTGGCAGATGAGAAAATGGATTCCCAGGATACTGACCCAGCTCAAGACCACTAGGTGAGCTAAGTGAAGTCTCTGATCAGGGGTCCCCTGATGGATCTGGCCCCAAATCTGATGCCTGCCGGACGCGTGGGCTTCCCTCAGGACACGGACTGGGAGGCAGCCCAGACCTGGGTGGACATACATTGACCGAGGTTTGTCTAAGGGACACTAGAATTTGGCAAAGCATGGGAGTCTCCTAAAGGCAACGGCTGAGCTATGAAGGTGTAGCTACCATAGATGAGGGGACAAATCCATGAGGACTCCTTGCCACAAATGTGCTAGGACTCAGGATGGTGGCGAGACAATCCATAAGGCCCAGCCTTCCCAGCCCCAGTAAGCAGCCCTTGATTCCACCATATCCTCACAGCCCGAAGTGCTCCCAAGAGCTCTTCGCCAGGATCGCCAGGGCTAGGGAGCTAGGAGCAGCCTGGGGTGGACATGGATTCAGAATCTTCTAGAAGGGGCAGTCTAGGAGCTTAGAGAGAACTGGATGGCAAGGCCAGGACAGGCCTGAGCCCCCGGCCAGAGAGTAGCAGACGCCAGAAGAGCGGGTGCAGCTTTTGGGGGGAAGGAGAGCCGGCCGGCAAAGGGAGATGTACCCCTCATCCACGGGTCAGGACAATGCCCTCCTCCTGGGGGACACTTGGCTACTGCGCGCTTGTTGCTTTGGGACACTTGGGTTTCCTCGATCCTCACCTCCCGCAGGGAAATTAAAGTATAAATGCCTGGACGAATTGACAGGCTCCACCGAGGCCCCTCCGTCCCGTGGGCCATCCCATGCCAAATCCCTCCAGAGCCGTCACCATTCCCGCCGCTCTTCCTGCCTAGCGCGGCTAGCGGCCCCGGGCCAGTTCGAGGCGCTCCCCGCCCCCAGCCCCGGCCTCCCCGGGGTCCCCACCACTGCCGTCCACCGGACGCGCGCGCTCTGCGGCGCGGCCCCGACTCGCGAGTCCCGCCGCGCCCAGGTGTCCGCGATGCGCCCGCAGCGCGCGGCCCTGGGGCACCTGTGCCCCTCGGCTCCACCTGTATCCGCCTCGCACCCCCGAGGCTTCGTCTCGCGGGGCCCCCAGCCCATTCCTGGGCGGGACACCCCGAAAAGACCAAGGCGAGCACGCGCGGCACACCGACCCCGACCGATCGCCATTCCCCGCCCATTGCCGACGGCGCGCACCCCTCTCCGCACCCCGCCGCCCGGCCGCCCTTCTTCCGGGCCCCTTCCCTTCCCCGCCTGTCCCTGACCACCTTCCGGTCGTCTGGGGGCCGCCCGAAGGGTCCGCACACCGTCCCCCGACCCGGCTTACGACGTGACCGGGCCAGGCGCGGTCCCGGGCGCAGGCCGTTCCCGGGGCCGCAGCGGGGCAAGGCGCCGGGCGCCCCAGAACTCGCTCTCGAGGGGCAGAGGGAGCGGCGGGTACCCCGAGGGGCGGGGCGAGATGCCCAGCTCTCTCGGCCCGGCACACCTCCGAAGGCCTCGCATCTCCAGGCAGACCCCCCCCCCCAACCCCGACCCTCCTCATTCTCCTCCCCGCCCTCCCCGCCAAGACCCGGTACCCCGGCTGACCTGCGGCGCGCGCGCCGGCTCCCGCTGTCTCCGCGGCCGCTCGGGCTCCGGCTCCAGCCGCGCCGCTCGCGGGCGCCCCCTGCAGGCGGCATCGAGATCCGCGCTGCCCCCGCCCCGCCCCGCCGGCCTGGGAAACCGAGGCCCACGGGGCGGCTGGGAACGCGAAGCGATGTCTCTAAGCCAGGCGATAGCATCGTGGATCTGCGCGGCATCATATCCCTCGCCCGTGGGCCCCCAGCGCGGTCTTGGAGATTCCATAGCCCCCGGCCTCCTCTTCCGGCGCTGCCCCCCGCCCCCCCCCCCCCGGGAGGGACCCCTCCAGCCCTGCGAAGCTCAGGCACCCTCCTCCAAGAAGGCCTCCAAGCAGCCTCAACTGCTCTGGTCCTCCTGGGGCAGTGCCGTCCCGTGTCCTGCGCTAGTACACCCGTGTCACTCCCTCTTTCTCCAGGCTACGTTGGGCCAGGGTCGCTCTCCAGTTGCTACAGCCCTGGTGTCCCTAAAGCCCAGACTATTTCCTGCCCCCCCTTTACCCCCCACCTCCCGCCCTTCTCTGAAGCACAGAGGGTGGCGAGAGTCATCTCTGGGAACCTCAGACATGGGCTGGTAATCCCTGCTCCTCTCTCTGTCCTTTTTCTGGAAGTTTCTAATTGTCAACACCCCCATGTACAGCCCCAGCCTGACTGTGCACAGGGATCTGCCTTAGACTCCAGCAGGTGGACTTGGACTGGCCTCAGTCTGCTCCCAGAAGCCTCTCAGAGGCCCAGGGCTTGTCTAGTAGAAGCTCCTAGAACCAGAGGGGCTCCCGGTAGTCAGGTTGAGAAATTTGCTCAGGGCCAGTCTAGCCCCTAGGGCTAAGGTCTGCAAGAGGAAAGACTTCTTTTTTTTTGGGGGGGGGGTGTCCAGTCGTGGGGCCTGAACTCGGCCTGGGCGCTGTCCCTCAGCTCTTCAGCTCAAGGCTAGCGCTCTACCACTTGAGCCACAGCACCACTTCCGGCTTTTTTTCTTTTTGCTTATGTGGTGCTGAGGAATCGAACCCAGGGCCTCAGGCATGCAAGGCAAGCGCTCTACCACTGAGCCACCTTCCTCTAAGCAGTCCTTAGCCACCCCCAGCACAGGAAGGAGAGAGAATGCAGAAGCTCTGTGTGCAGGTACCTGGCCTCTAATCAAGAGGAGCCAAGAACCTGAGGCAGTGATCTTCACTTGAAGGGACTCAGTCTTGATCACCTGATAGCTTTCCTGGCTCATGCTTGGGGCTAAAGCCTGGTCTCTTGTTCCAGCCCATCCACTGGTCTCTATGCCAAGAAGGTGCAGTAGAGACCTACCTGCCATTTGAGTTAACCTGAGGACCCAACATGGGTGTCACATGAGACCCTAGGGATACCAGTCCCCATCCTCCTCCTCTCTTCCTCAGATGCCTTTCCAGCCTCAGATCTGCCCCCCCCCTCCATTCTCAAACACACACACACACACACCCCTCACCTCTTACCCCTCAGTCCAGGTCCCTTCTGAGCCTGCCCCCCCTCCATTCAGGGCCCTAGCTTTCCTTAGTGAAAAGGAAACCTGACCACGCTGCCCCTGGGACCAGATCCTGGAGCTTCTCTGGCATTCCCAAAGGCCTTCTAGGAATCCATTTGTTTGTGATATGCCATCCATTGGAACTTGGGAAGCTACCTGGCTAGGGACTCCTTTCCCCAGGACCAATCTTCATTCTGGACTCTCTCCATGAGGAAGATCACTTTGAGAAGGGGGTCCCTTCTTATCTACTCCTGTTGGGTCCATTCAAGTCCTCAACTACCCTGTTGCCTTGAAGGGGCTTGGGTGCTCATGGGGCAGAAAACAACACTTGGCCTATTCTGTGGGACCCTCTTGCCCCCTAGCCCATGGTGTGGGACCACATGCTTCTTTTCTCTGTCGTTTCCATTCTGGGGCCCAACACCCTTCCATCAGATTCCCCACATGTGGCCTGGCCTCATGTACCTCATCCAGAGAA